CCCCAAAACCCCAAAACCCCAAAACCCCGGAGGTTATAGGAGGGATTGGATCTTATTTTGAGATTATTAGTGTTTAGTCTTAGTTCTTAGTGTGGGGTTTGAGAGAGGGGTAGTTTGAAGAGAGTGTGTAAATAAAGAAAAGAATTTAAGGAAGAGGAGCCACTTAAGGATGAATTGTTGATGGGGTCAGTTATTACTTCTAAGTCTCTGATAAAAATCAGTACAGCTCTCAAAAAAGGGCACTCAAACAAACCCGTAACCCATAACACTCTAAAACATTAGACCCACCACTTCCCTTTACTCAACCCATCTCTCTCACCATCCCTCTCACTCCTCTCAGCCACCCCTACTTTTCTAAAAATCCAACTGGAGCAGGAAAGAGAGAACTAGGCTGCTGGAATAAGGGTTTTATACCAATTTTTGGGCTTATAGGAATTTTAAGTGGAAATAAAGGGGATTTGTAGTGAATAGAGGCGGATTGAGAGGAAATTTTGGGAAGGGGAAGTTTAGAGGGGATATTAAAGAAATTAGACCCTAGGGGTATTGGTTAGTCAGGGGGGTTGTATAGGCTTGGGGTGTGGAGGATGATTATTAATAAGTACAGGATGATTAATAGTTTATTTAAAAAGGGCTTATATGGTAAAAATTAATAATTTTTAAGATAATATAAATGGAAGAAGAGGGAAAAAGTTATTACATTAGCATAAAAACATATTTATATAAAACAGGATTTGCCAGAATCCTTAGTTTTAACTATTTTTGCTAACTTTATAGCCCAAATAAATCCTAGAGCAAAATAGAAAAAGGCTAACTTGCAACTCTAAGGACTACCAGTTCATTTTACCATACAACTCTAGTATCTAAACGGCACATGCAAGCCTTATTTTATTAAAAATGTAATCTTATGATAATAGTAAGAATAAATTTTAATAAAACCTTTGAAGGGTGCAATTATCTATTAAGTATTTATAAGAAAATAAATACAACAAGGTATAGAACTAAAAGTTCCCTGAGGTTTATGTAACGTTTAGATACTATTTTCTTACTCCTCTAATACAATGGCACCTAGAAATTACAAATAATAAATTGATATGAAAATCGCCAAATTGTGTAGATGATAATTTGATAAAATAATATTTAATAAATTTTCATCAAACTCCGAAGGGTTAGCCTAAATTGGGACTATTTCTAGTAATAATCCCTAAAACTCAATAAAAATAGAGTAAATAAAAAGATAAAATCGCAAAACTTCCCACTCTTCCCCATTCTCAAAAAACACTAAACTCAAAAACTTCTCATCTCTATTTTCAACAACCAAAGACTACTTCTTCTCTACCCCTAATTTCCAGCCCTAAAACTCCTTCTAATCCAGATAAGTCAGCCGACCCTTTCCTATAACTTCTCTTCCTATTTTCCAATTCCTTCAGCCTGCATAATCCTTATGCACTAAACCGTTAGTGCATGAGCCAATTCTAGGTTTTAATGCCGGCCAGAATTGAAGACACCATTTCGTGCAAGGTCATTTTCCTCTCTAAATTTAGTTTATGAGATTCATGCTAGTTCATCTTCTTTGTTGTGCTTGGAGGAAGCTAACCAAAGACAAGGTAATTGTACGTTTAATTAATCTCCCTCCACCTCTTCAACCCCTCTCCCCATTCCTTCTCTAAAATCCCTAATTCTCTTCTAAAATCCCAGCCATTCACAACTATTCTCAGTCACGACCAAATGGGTGTTCACTAGTCCAAGCTAGGGACTGAAGGGATCGATAGAGAAGTGGGGTGGACAGATAGTACAAGAAGGAGAGGAAGGAATGTGGTAGTTTAGGAAGGGATTGTGGGTTTAGTGGATTTTGATGGGGTGGGAGGTGTGAATGAGTTGGTGGGAAATTTTTGGGTTTTAAGAGGATTTTGAAGGTAATTAGGTATTGAGGTATGGAATTTTTAGGTGCAAATTTTATGGGAGAAGGTCTTAGAGAGGCTCGTATAGTAGCAGGGCTCTTTGTTGTGAATTGGATGAAATTTCGGTATATTTTTGGAGTAGTACTTTGAAACTTTCAGAACGAAGACATGATTCATATTTCTTCTTTGAGAACCTCCTTGCTCAATCAACTATATCTAAAATCTCTTGAAGAACTGTTGGACTACAAGGAAGTGCAGATGGATCTTTGAGACCTATAATTCCCATCGCAAGGTAAATCACATCGTCTGTGATACATTCTTCAGGAATAATTGTCTTCAAAGTTTTTAACATTTTATTGAAGAGCAGTCTAACTTTGCAGTTAGCATATCTCTTCTTCACAATGCTAATATTCTGAGTCTTGAAAAGCTTTTTGTAGAACCTCTTAAACCTCCTAAGGGCTGATTTATGGACAGTATCACTTCTTTTAAAAGATTTCTCTAATTTGTCTCCTGTTGATATAGCAGATTCTTTACTACCATTCATATGTTTTTCAAATATATTTTGAATCGGCATGTTCATAGGTAAGTTGGAAACAAGATTTTGCTTTTCAATCAGTAAGCTCTCCGTTCCAGTCTGTAAGCTAATACGTCTTTTTAAAGATCCTAGAAGAGGACATGACTCTAGCATCTTGAACTGATCAATTAAGATCTTGGTTTGGTGATCCAACTGTTCTATTTTTAGAAGATGGTGAAGAATAGCATTATTGTTGTCTAATTCGTTTGAAAAGAGCAGATTTTGATTTCCTTTTTGCAATTCCTAAAGTTATTGATTAAATTTCAAAACTTCCTTTATATAAATCTAAGTAAAAGGGAAGATTGGAGCTCTGGCAACCTAATTTACATAAACTAATAATGCATAGCTCTTAAAGAGCCATTGATCCTTTAATAATGAAAAAATGTAAGATAAAGTCCTTACCCCATAGAGTGTGTTTGGTAAACCAGTTTTTGCCGTCTTCAGAGGATGTTTTTGGTAATAATAATTCTTCTGTACATAATTGTAAGGAGTGAAGAGTTCAGTCATTTTTCTCAAAATTATATAAGTTAAAACTTTCACTCCTAAATATCCAACTTGGGGTTTTGGGGTTTTGGGGTTTTGGGG